AGCTCTTCTGCTGGCTATTCTGGACTAAAGCGTGGGTTTTTTCACCATTACTCAAACATCTCTCCTCTCCTTACAATCCAATATTGCCTCATAGAAAAGATATTCCAGTGTGCGTGTGAGAAACCAGGATGGCAATGGTTTGCAGCAGAATGAAACACTAGAAACTAAGGAATTTTTAGTGGACATATAACAACGTTTAGAACTCCTGGATGGTGTAGTTGACAGCACAATATCTTTGCTTTTTTCATCCCAGAGATTGCCTTGGTGACCAGCAAGCCTGAGAAAGTTGCTCCTTCACGCCAGGATATATTTCAAGGTATGAGAAAAGATCAGTGGGTCTCCAGCGTTGAATTGTTGGGAGGATTGCCGCAGGACATGCAGGAGCAATGAACGAGCCTGCCAATAAGTGTCTGTCATCTTCTTTTCCTTTCTGTGCAGAACAACTGGCAGCCATTCCAGAGTTTAAGAGCTTGGGTCCGTTATTCAAGTCTTCAGAACCAGTACAGCTCACAGAAGCAGAAACAGAGTATTTTGTTCGTTGTATTAAACACGTGTTCACAAATCACATCGTTTTCCAGGTATGAGAAGTTACCCACTTGTGTCAGGGTGCGAGAGGAGTTGGCCCTTAATGATGCCTGGGTGTAGCATAAGCAGGGTTGTTGCTCTGCCCCAGAGAGCAACTGCTTCTCTTAAGGGAGTTGCAAGGTAGAGTTAAGAGGGTGTGTGCTGCTTGCCTCAAAGATCAAAAAAGGATGGGGCCTATGATCCCCATCTGTTAAAGAATTCTAGTAAAATTGGAGAGAAAAGCTTTGGACTATTGTAGCTGATTTGGGGAAGAATTCTCAATTAGAAACGTTTCTTCTATGTTCAAGCCCTTTTCAATTTATTCTTCTGCAGTTTGATTGCACAAACACGTTAAATGATCAGCTGTTAGAGAGAGTCACTGTGCAGATGGAGCCCTCGGACGCCTACGATGTGATTTGTTGCATCCCAGCACCCAGCCTGCCTTACAACCAGCCGGGCATGTGTTACACCCTTGTCCAGATTCCCCGGGATGACCCCACTGCAGGTACCCACTGGGGAGGGAGTAGTTCTGCACAAAAGATCCTTCAAATGAAGTTCTTGGAGAACGCGTGATAAAATGTTTATGGGGTGGGATTTGGTGAGTGCATACTGAGATTCTAGCGCTGTTTCTTCATCGTGGGTGATATGTGCTGGTTTTCATGTAGAACTTGTGTTTGTGCAAAATAGTATACACGCTTTTTACAAAATAGTATATGCACTTTTTAAGTAATGGGTGGTATTGGAGGATTAAAAATGGAATGTTAAAGAGGATTGGAGAGCATGCAAGTAATAGAGGAAGTGAAATGGACTGCCTTGAATCAATGAAGGGAGCACATTTGAAAACATGGGGGTTTGTTGGCAGTATTCAAGAACAACATCAGTAAAAGGAAAATGCAAAAATGCAAATAGAAAAAAAAAAAAAATCAGTAGTTTGGGCCTCTACATATTTGACCAGTGCAATTTTTCCTCTCTTCAGAGAATTAGAAACAGCTATGACATGTAAGAACAAGATTTTGTTGGGCATAAAACTTCCCTTTCTTACTTTTATTATTCACACTTAAAAGAAACTCCGTTGGATTTGCAGTTGGCGTAAGGTGACTCGGCTCATCAGCAGGGTGGATTTCTTGATTATTGTTTTAATACCGGGAGAGATTAGAACCAGTCCAAATTCCCTGAACTGTGGTTTTGGATCATAATCCACTTGTCAGAAACCCTTGCAGAGTTCCTTCTGGTAGCTAATGCTGACTGGCTCTCGCTGCAGTGCCCTGTGAGTCAGTGGGCCTGTGCTTGTTACACTATGGCATACTCCTCAGATCCTCCTTCGTCCTTCATCTTAAAGTCTGAGGGGAAATTTTATATTTATATATATTTTATATTTATAAGTTGAAAAGTGCTCTGACTGCAGCCATGTCTGTATCTTCTAGGGCAAAGCTAATGTACATTCTTCCTGGTATCTTTTGGGAAGCATGGGCTCAAGCAGAAGAAATTGCACCGCTAACCTATACAGGCTTTTTCTCTCCTCCCCAGTTGCTTGTACTTTCAGTTGCACAGTGAAGTTCAGTGTTCGAGACTGTGACCCAAACACAGGTGTGCCAGAAGAAGATGGCTATGACGATGAATACGTGGTAAGTTTGGGACTTGTTTTTTTTTTTTTTTTGCCTTGTCACTAATTCTGAATACACATGGCCATGGGGCTGACAGTTTCCTTTCAGATCTGAAGCCAGTAAGAGAGAACGGCAGGCCTGCCTGAAACACCATTTTCAAAATACTGTGGCTTGTACAAAACCTTGCTTCTGCCAAAAGTTACACCCTTGTAACTTTTAGTTTTAGTGCCCTATGGAGATTTGTGGGGGCAGGCAGGCAGAAATAACTTCCAGTCTGTTTTCAGAACTGCGGCCTAATCCTTCCAGCCCAAGCATTTGCACTTCTGTTTTTTGTGTTTGTATTATCAATTACTGAAATACAAGTCAGATCTTAGGAAAGTGCCTGTCTTTCGGGCTTGGTGCAGGTAAAGGCTCCTGGATTCTGAGAAAATATCTCCTCAGATGCCCAGTAAGGGCTCGAGTGGGCTTCAACTCACAAAGTGATTGCCCTGGTTTTTGCACTCCTTTGGTCTCATCGATGTTTTTGTATAAATGTTTTTAAGTTTTACAGATGACCACCATAAATACTGTTTTTCCTCTCTGCTTTTTAGATGCTATTATTGTGTGCTTCTCCTGAAACCGAAGCCAGGCATGCCAGAGTTGTCTTGGCAAAATGCTGTTGTCTGTCTTTCCCTTCCTGAGATCAGGATCATTTCTGTAACTGGCAGCTGAAAAAAATCTCTCTTGCTTTTCTGTCAGTTGGAAGATTTGGAGGTGACCGTGTCTGATCATATTCAGAAGGTTTTAAAGCCTAACTTTGCAGCTGCATGGGAAGAAGTGGGAGATGACTTTGAGAAAGAAGAAACCTTTGCACTTAGCTCAATTAAAACCCTTGATGGTAAGATGATCTCTTCTCATTTATTGGTGACCCACATAGTAATCCTGGTAAATCTGCCATGCTGAGGATATATTTAGTGTTCTAGGAAGAGAATTTGGTGCCTCCCAACATGACATAATGTCTCAGCAACAAGGCTTTGTGTTGCAATGTTGGGTATAATCCCAACATGATAACGTTAGCAGAAGTTTGGCGGTGCTCTCTTGCTTGAGGCTGGTGGAAGGAAGGGAGGGCTGCCTTCAGCAGAAAAGACATGGCAAGGTAGGTGTGTTGGTGGGGCTGCAATCCAGTTAATGAATGGAAATGGTGAAGCCACATGGGTGCTTAGAGAATGTTCTTTAATTGCAAACTAGTTCTCACAGAAAGCTTGACACCAGCCTGGAGGTCATTTTCTTTTTCGATCTCTGAATGCAGAAGCTGTCAATAACATCATCAAGTTCTTGGGCATGCAGCCCTGTGAGAGATCAGATAAAGTGCCAGAGAACAAGAACTCTCACACGCTCTATTTAGCTGGTAAGTATTCATGCTACTGAACTTGATGTTTCCATGTCCCTACAGATTATTTTTTTTTTATTAAATGGAGGGAAATGAGTTAGGAGATTATGCTCTGAGTTTTTTCTCTGTAGAAAGCTGAAGTGAACCAGTGAGTTGAATGCAGCTGGTGCTGACTTGGAGCCTGCTGCCACGGGGGTACTCGGGCTAGGCTCTGTGTCTCTCGAAACAGAGGTATTATACCTAAGGGAATGGTAGTGAATCCTTTGAATTAAGAACTTCCAGAGCAGACATGTAACTAAACTCCTTGCCTGAGGTTATCTATCTCACAAGGGGGTTCCTAGGACCGTCTTGTTTTGAAGTTCCTGTCACTAAAGATCCATCCTGAATTGGCCTGTAGTACCCACAACTTCTTGTTTGGTGCCTGTGGTCCAGGCTTGCAGCTTTGTGCAATCCTTGGAAGTGAAGTGCTCTACAAAACTTGGATAAAACTGCAGTGAGTGTGACAGAAGTGTGGGATCTTAATTTATTTCAGAGGTAGAACTGGTAACTCTGGGTCTGTCTGCGGAGTGATGTTGGAGTGGGACTGGAGCTGGCTCGTCCTGCCATCTGAATTGCTTCCAGGACTGCCACTTCTGAGCCCTCTAGTAGAAGCGGAGGAGAACTATTCCTCCCTTAACAGCAAGGGCACCAAGCCAACAGACTCTGCCTTCACGGCAGAATTGCAGTATGCGTTGCCTTCTCAAACCACAAGTGAGCCACCCACTTTCTGGTTTCTACCTATTTAAATCAGCCTAGCCCTCCAGCAGCACTTGCTGACTCTGTTTTATTAGGACAGTATCTGTTACCTTCAGTCTTGGCCTCAAGAGCTTAGAGGATTTTTAGGTTTTGATATTTTTTTTGTCATTTTCCCCCCCCCTTCTCTGCAACTGACCGTAGCCTCATTCCGTCTTGTGCTCGCCAAGTTGTTGGCTCCTGGGTTAGGACTAGATCACTGAGCTGCTTTTAAAGTAATCTCTCAAATGTTGCTTTGTCCCCAGGTGTATACAGAGGAGGCTGCGATGTGCTGGTGAGGTCCAGGCTTGCGCTAGGAGATGGTGTGACCATGCAGGTGACAGTCAGGAGCAAGGAAGAAACGCCGGGAGATGTCATCCTGGCTTCTGTAGGCTGAGTGGTAACAGCACATCGACTGTGGTGGAAACCTCCTTTGCAAGCACTGGTTGGGTATTTTACCAGATATCAAGCAGCCTGTCGGTCCTTCTGCATGTTGTTTTTATTCCTCAATTTGGTAAATATTTTGTATGATGTTACAGTAGCGGCAATAGTGGCTGGCTGGTGCTGAGCCTTTCCTGTGTCCCTTCCTTCATTGTCACTTACACATTCCTGTCTAACTTATTGCATCTCTGGCCACTTGCAGTAGAGCAGGGAAGATAAAAGATGCAGGTGGTAAGAAAATGGAATCAGACTTTTGTCAAAACTGATTTTTATTAACAGAAAATAAACACTGGTCCAAGTGGTGAAATTCATATGAATTACTGTTAATAAAATAGAAATCTTTGTTCTAAGTCTGTCTGCTTCAGTACAGAAAAAATAACCCATCATGGCTGTTTACTCAGCAAAAGCCCCTTATTTCTAAAGGGATGCTATTAAATTTCAAACCTAAGCAGTTAAAAACCACACAAAACCTGCAGAGTCTGCCAACCTGCAAATTTACAATATCTTGATGATTGTCTCCTCCGTTCCACACAGAAAAATCAATGTACAGAGAAAGAGAGAGAGAGAGAGAGAGAGAGATCGAACTTCACCTATCAAGGCATATTCAAATCTCTGAGCCTTATGTCAAATAATACCTGTGCAGCCTTTTTCTGGGCTCAGAGATGTGAAACAGCTTGTATCAAAAGTGGGTAAGAGAAGGGGAAGGTGTCTCCCTTGTGAGGGAAGTTCTGCATCTCTTCTCTCTGCTGATGAACTGTTGTTTCTTTCATTATCAACTCAGGGGAAGGAAGGAATACTATTTTAATGCTAATTGAACCACCTGTCCCAGATCCCTGTGCCTGGAGTAGCTATTGCTCAGAAGAACAGCTTGGCTTTTGCTAGTGCCAGTATTGCATATTCACCTTGTTCTAGTGAAATGAGTACAAGCCTGCCCTGGTAGAGCTGCATGCTACAGCCAAGCTGAGCTAGTCCCAGGGGCGTAGTGTCAGTGAGCAGCTCTGCTTGTTGAACTGGAAATCAGAGAAATAAGGGATGCGGAAAAAAATTGAAGTTTAAAGCTTGCCTTTGGGTAACTGGCCATTAAAAAGGGGTTACTGAAGATGTAATGACAGTGCTTAAACACCCCTTTATGGGTGGAGAGTATCACTGCCTGCATTTTGGGGGATTACAGATCTAGCTCTCCTGCTGTATTTTGTGTAGGCAAACTCAAGTTTCAAATTCTCCAGTCCTGCCAAGCTGGCTAAGTATTGTAACACTTTGCAGAGGGTTGTAATTTAAACTGCCTGTACAGCAACTCAAAAAACAGACCAGCATCCATTTTGGGAATACGTGCATCGATCCTCAGCTGCTGGTGGTCCTGTCTACCTGCGGCATGTAGTGTAGCCTAGTAAGGAGTGACCTACGTGATCTGCCTCCCTTCAGCTGCCCCTGTTCTCCCTTGAGCCCTCCTGGTTCTAAATACAGAGACACAGAGCTGTCAGCACCCTGTAACTCTACTTAGGCTGCTATTTTTGTCCATGCCTCCCCGCAGGCTAATCTTTTCTGGTACACAAAGGATTTAACTGCATAAATTCAGCAGTTTGGCAGCCAAAGGTTAGGGTGTTAGTGCAAAGTGTTGGATCTGGAGATTAAAAATCAAGGTTTCTTCTCGCCCCCGAAGCCTGACTGATAAACAGAGAGTGAGAGCTGAGCTGCAGCAGCTCAGAAGGAGTTGATGAAGCTCAGATACGCGTTCAGGAAGCCTGTTGGATCCTCCAGCTGCGGGTAGTGGCTAATGTGGTCGTCCAGCACAGACACTGTGGACATGGGAAGCACCTTCCTGTTGGAAGAACGCGGCAAGGCTTGAGCACAGGAACTGCAGCTCGGCCCCCGGTCAGCCAGATGCTACCAGTGAGGAGGACAGTACCCTCTTGCACAGTTGGGATTCTGCCCATAACACACTTTTTGGACAAAAAAAAAAAGCCTGTAGCAGCTACAGTTGACCGCTCTTCCAAGTGCTGGATTTACTTCAGGTTGGTTTGGAGGCAAAGAGTACCTCAGTCAATAAACCCTACCTCTCTCTGCTGTGGTTTTAAAATGCATGATTGATTTGACTTAGAAGTGTGACTTTGATGCCTAAACTGGGGAAGCAATTTCCCAATTGCAGAAGGCTCCGAATGAAGCACCTGGCTGTGCAGGTTAGAGGTGGGAATTAAATACAACCTCCATGAAATGGGAGTTGAAGGAAAAGTCCGAGACAAAAATCTCCCTCAAACTGAAACCCTAGCTGCCTATTCCTAATGCGTGCTGGGTATGGTCTTACTTGTAAAGCTGAAGAAACTCTGGGTGTGGATTCACGGGGTCCAGGGGCCCGTAGATGAGGTGCACTGCAAGAGAGAAGCACAGGCAGAGCTTTTATACCCAAGGACATCCCTAAACTAAGCCAAGGAGACCTGGTGCAGACACGTTCCCCCCTCGAATGGCGTTTGGGAAGCTTTCAGCAGAACACTGAGCAAACCAGGTGCCCAAAGGGCTCTTGATTCTCTGCCCTGGGGTCAAGTTCAGCCTCCAGCCCTCCTCCTGCAAACACCAAACCTTTCCTTCAGTGGTTGCAACTTGAGCTTGAAAAGCATCTCGGCTTCCCTGGGACAGCAGCTGGAGAAACCAGAGGCTGTGAACCAGCCTCTAAAGGAAAGTTACCTCTGCTCTCTGGAACAAACTTTTTCCTCTTACCTTAACAAGCTCACAGCTCTCCACTGTAACCGAGCCTTAAACTGGAGCAGGGAAGCTTGCTACCCCCTCCACAAACTGGATCTGAGCCCCGTTGTCCTCGGAATAAACGAGAGGCTCCAGCAATTAGTGGAAGGAGCCAGCGCCACGCTCCCGCGCTTGCAGATGAGGGGGGTAATTCCCAACATCCTGACCCGTAAATCAAAGAAAACCGATTCCTACTCACGTGGGACAGAGGTGGACATCAAAGCCCCAACCCAGCGGTCTCTGTGCTTCTTTCTCTGGTTTATGTACTGCAAAATACTGAAGAGAAACCTGTTGTTACGTAGCGGATGGTGCCTTGAGATGCTGCACAGGCTGGAAATGGCTCTCGGGGCAACGGGTGCCTGTGCGATGAGACCAAGGTGGAATCTGCATCTCCCACAGACCACCTCCCTGGGGCAGTAGCAACCCAAAAATCAGTCTGCTGCCCATCCCTAAGCTCAGCAAATCTGCCTAAGGTGGTGGGTGTTATTTATTTACTTAGACAGTCAGCAAATAAAAGCGCAAAGGAGGTCAGGATGCTGACTACAGGTCTCATCCCTGGTGAACTCTGTGCCCTGAGTCCAGTCCAGAGTCCGGCTGGAAGATAACTCAAGGTCATTTAGGAAAGGAGAAACAGCTTACAGTCTGGGGAGAGGGGAGGATAAGGTTTGAATCCTTCCCACCTGGGATGGAAGGAAATTCAGGTCCTCTGCTCCCAGTGCCACTGGGTTGTAAAAGGTGGTGAACCGTCGTAACCTTTGCGCCGGGCGGTGCGGGGAGTCAGCAAACGAGCACTGAAAGGTTGGTTTACCCCCAAGACCCCTTAAACCGTGCCGCTTCACTTGGGCAGCGGGGCAAAAAATGGGTTTGCAATCATCCTACAAAACGTCGGGGCAGAAACCTGAAAGCCAACGCCGGGGCAGCACCGTCTGAGTGCTCCCGTGCATCGCGGTGGCTCCGCAACCATTTCAGTGCCCCGCAGAAGAGGACTCGACACTGAACCATGGAGTGTGGAGGAGCACAGAAGATAATTTGCACTGGTCGGGTCTGCACAGTGAAAATCTGAACTGTTAACAGCTGCTCAGCTTGTCTCACCACCCCAGCCAGCAACTCAGGGTGACTCCTTGCTTCAGCACAGCTCCTGGGGGGGCTGAGGCTCCCGATTTAAACATCAGGTTCAAGTCAGCTGGGTTATAAAAAGCCTTCCAAGGCTGAGAAGCTACACTAAATAAACATATGATACTCCGACACACACGCCATTTAAGGGGCTGGAGCTTCCCATCACGGCTACGCTGCCGACAAAGGTGACTTTGCAATAATTTGTCACGAGGGGACTTGCCAAGTGGACAGTGCATCAGCTGGTGTACCCACTGCTGGCTTGGGCGAGCATCCCTCGTAAGAAGCAATTAATAAGGGCCCTTTGGAGGGACTGAGCTATTTGGTCCTTACTGTGATTTGTCTGGAGATTGTCCCCCTGTGGGAGGAGAGAGGAGTTGGCACGCTGTGGGGGGGGAAGAACAAACACAGACCCCACTGAGTGGGGATACAGACCTCACAACCACCAGCCCAAGGTCCTTCCAAAAGTCCCAAACTGAAGAAAACCAGATTTAGCTCCAGTTTTTAACAGAAACTCACAAATTCAAGCAGCAAACTTCCAAATTAAAAAACCCCACATTGTACATCGCCAGCATTGCCCTCCTACCACCACGTGCAGGCTCAGATCATCCTGACTCCGGACTTCCTTGCATCATCCCAGCAAGAATCCCTGCTCCTGCATCACACCTCAGCTCCTTTTTGGGGTGCAGTGATGATTCCAGACCCCAAGAGAAGCAGCTGGAGGCTTTGAGGAGCCAGTGTCCAGGGACCCGGCCGAGCTCTGGTAACCTCAGAGCTGCTGCAGGGCTCTACCTGGAAACAGAGGGACGCCACGGGTGTAAAACTAAGCTCATGAAGCAATTAACGGTGACGTACCTGTCAACGACGAGATTGCCATCGTTAGTCCGCACCGCCGTCCACATGTCCCAGTATTCCGCCTGTGAAGGCTGCGTGTAGGGCCCGAAGACTGCCCCAAGCCTGGAAAGAAAGTTCAGAGTGACACAGCAGCAGCTGTGTTAGTATACGACTCAAAAAAATTAGCCAAAGGCAAAAAAAAAAAAAACAAAAAACAAACAAACAAAAAACCCCAAACAGTTGAGCACTTCCAGCTTCCACTACGAAACACGTGGGTGGAAGGGCAGCACTGCAAATTGTCCCCCCAAAGGCACCCAGTGTTGGGCTTAGCAGCCACTTTAAAGAGGTTTTTGGAAAAAAAAAAGAGGGTTCGCAACATCTGAAAAAAATATATATCTGATTGCGTGCCGTATGTGGCGTGTGGTTAGGGTTTTCATTGCCTCTGTAACAGGCACAAATCCAATACTCGTGGGAGAGAAGGGTTTCAGTGTACAGTGAGAAGCAGTGTGGTTTATTATTAGGCTGAAGCACTCTGCCATCCTGGAGAGGGAATGGCCCAGAAGATCAAGGTCGTTCAAATCCAGGGGCAAATCTCTCCTGGGACAGCACCAAGGGATCTGCTCACCTGCCAAATACCCGCCTACGCTAATTCCTACGTTGGCCCCCTCCCCACTTGGCTCACGTCCCCCGTATGGACTGTGCCCAGCAGCACAGAGACACAACTCACCCTCTGGAGAAGAAAAAGAAGTTCATCAGCCGCGTGATGATGGGGGACAGCAAACCCCCGTCCTTGAGGATCTTGGGCAGAAGGGAAAAAAAAAAAAAGGAGACAGCACTACTTGGTATCGTACAGACAAGTAAATCCTGTCTCCTCAGAGGGCTCTTCCCCGTATTCCAGCAGTTTCCCAGCTCAGCCCTGAGCCTCGAGATGTACGTGAGCTCTCAGCGGTGAGACATCAGCGTTTCAAGGGGTGATTAGTTGGGGTGTTCAGATGCGACAAGCCACATCCTGACAGCCCCTGCTTCTTCCCACCGCCTCTAACGATGCCTGCGAGCAGCTCAGGTGTCATTACCGAAGCGGGAAAAGCAGCAGGTATCCGAGCCGGGTAAAAAGCCGAACTCACGGAGTCAGACTTCTGCTTGAGGGGCGATTCGGTACGACTAGAGTGGGGGTAGCAGCTCACCTTCTGGATGAACCGGGGGTAGTGTGTTTCGGGGAAAATCCCTGGAAGGATGTCAAAGAACAGAGTTGTAATGCTACAAGTGGTTTTGCTCTGCATCTCCCAGCCTCTCCCTTTCTTCATGGTGCCAGGAAAGGTGGCACAGGCAGCCCCAGGACAGATGCTCCTGGTTAATTACTGCACCGTAATTGCAATTCACTTGGGGTTCGGGTGGTGCTTTCCCTCAGGTGATGGCGACAGGAAGGCCATCCCATCCCATGGATCCCCATCCCTCCCAGCCCACCCATCCCACGATGCCGGACAAACCTCACCTCCGTTGGATAAGCATAGGCTGTTGATCAAGATGCTTCCAGTTTTATTGTGCTCATACCTGGGAGACAGAAGAGAAGAAGGTGACACACAACTAAACCTTCTACAGGCTCCAAGAAGTGACCGACCAGCAGGTCAAATTCACAGTGTCAGATCATCTCTGCTCCCCTGCTGTCCCTGGCTTGATAAGAAGGAGCTCAGGAGGAAAGCTAAACATCCTAGAAGCCGGGATTCGATGGATGGGAGCCTCAGATCTGCCCACCATGGTTGTTCCCTGAGACATCTCAGCCTTCGTTACAGCTGTAGGTACAGGGAAAAAGGGGTTCTGCGCTACGTCCTTCCACTTATCTGCTGGAAATCGTCTTGATAGGGACAACAAAGAGCAGCCAGAGCATCGGTGGTTGCAGTGACCTGTGCAGCAGCTCCTGTGCAACTGTATCCCCGTAATCGTGGGACAGGAGATTAATTCTCTGGTGGTGGAGGCCGAGGTGACGCACCAGCCCCTCGACGATGCTGGCTTGCTCGAAGATGGAGTAGCGGTGGGGCCTCTGCGAAGCAAAGTGGGAGAGGAGCCGCAGTGAGAACCTGACCCACCACGAGCCCACAAATCCCAGAATAAACACCCAACTGGAGGAACATGGGGTGGAAACCAGTAGTCTGTGACCCCGGATAGAGCAGTCAGGATGTCCTGGGCCAGCAGCTATGTCCACAAACCAGTGGGAGCACTGCCCATGTCCCAAAGGGGTCAAGGTGTGCTTGGGAGTCACGTTAAACCCAAGACAGTGACAGAGCCACTCTTTACCACGCACCTTCCCTATCCCTTCTGCTATTATAATGTCTTATTCCTTTTCCAGTTGTAAATGGGAGAAGAAACTGGACTGCAAACGCCAATTTTGCAGGGATGCTGGCATGGCAGAACAACCTCTGGGCCAAAAGCAACTGCAAAAATTGTCTTCCCAGGCTACTCACAGGCTTGTCACTAAAACCGAATCCTACGAAATCCAGAGCAATCACCCGGTGAAACCGCTGGGTCAGCCCTTCCCAGATCTGGAAGAGAAATGCATTAAAAAAGAAAAAAAAAAAACAAACAAACCAAAAAACGGCTGATGGGAGCGGAGAGAGGAAAAGTCTGTGGCGATACACAACCACGGGTGGCCATGCTCCCTGCTGCTCCCCCAGGCAGCGCCTTCCACCTCCAAAAAAACTGCAGGAGGTTGAAATCTCCCAACAAACAGCAAGACCATCCACACCAAAAAGCCAAGAAATAGTTGTGGGGTTTTTTTTTCTCCTGATTTGGGCTGGAGCGTGGGAAAGGGCAACGTGGGAAGAGGTTGGCTCCTCTGCAAGGCATCGGGAGAGGAAGAGGACAGATGCCCTGGAGCACAGCGGTACCTCCAGCAGAAATTCCTCTGAAGCATTGCTCACCCTTTGCTGAGCCACCAGCCACGTCCACCTGCTCGTCGCCTCGAGGGAGAAACCGCCGGGTTTGCTGTTGGCATCCAACCCCCCCTCCCCGGACGCCCACTCCCCTCACCTTGCACCAGTCGTAGCTGGAGGTTGGGAAGCCGTGCAGGAGAACGACGATATCAGAGCTGCCGACGGCACCGGTTGAATCTCGGGAGGGAACAAGACACCAGGGTTAGCTTTTCCCCCTTCATCCCCGCAAATTCCTCCCTTGTAAGATAGGCACTGCTGTTCAACCTGCGGGGAGCCCAACCAGCAGCATGGTATCACCTCTCCCCCCAAACCAAGCATGGGTTTGACTTACACCAGAACATCCCAGTGCCAGCGTGGCTTTAGGAACCCAGCCAGAAGAGCCACCACAGCTGCCAGCACCAGCTACTTACCACAAATTAGGGTTTTACTCAGCACAAATTAATTGCAGCTGCACCTAAGTCGCTAAGATGGGTGACAACCGCTCCAGCAAAAAAAGGGTTTTTTTGGTATCTTCTTGCTGTGACCCATCGGAGGCTGTTGGGATCCTTCCCTGCCAACACCAAGGTATTGGCAGTGCCACACAAGGACCAACCTTCGTGGCTTCACCCAATTAAAATGTTTTGATAACGAACAGCCCCGTGGCACCTGGATCCATGCATCAGCTCCCCTTAAAGCCATTATGTTTTGGGAGGGATCTGCCACCTCCTTGCCTGGCCTTGGGGACATCCCCAGGCCCGCTCCCCACCGGGATGGATGAGGTGTCCCCAGGGCTCGGTGCGACCGTGTCACCTCTGTAGAAGATGTTCTGGTCCTTGTAGGTGAAGTAGCTTCCAGAGGACCTCCAGGAGAGCAGAGCTGGGGAGAGCTTGGGGGGCGGGATGTGCAGGTAGACGGCGAGGAGGGGTACGCTCAGCAGCCCCACCTGCACCCACCACTCCTTCATCCTGGGGGAGAGAGAGGAAGGCGCCCATCTCCCAGGATTTGCCCCACAGCCCGCAAGTCCCCCTAACCCCTCCCCATGTCCCCCTAACCCCGGCATTCCCCTAACCCACCTCCAAGTCCCTCAAACCCCCACATCACCATAACCTGCACATCACCAGCGTGGCAAGTCCGTCAGAGTGGTCTCTGCAGGAAGGGTTGGGGGGAACGTGGGCCCCATTGGGGGTCTGAGGGATGGATGTGGACCCCATACGGGGTCTGAGGGGGACGTTAGCCCTATTGGGGATCTGAGGGGGGACGTGGGTCCATAGGGGGTCTAAAGGGGGACATTGGCTCCATTAGGGGTCTGAGGGGGGACATGGGTCCATAGGAGGTCTAAAGGGGGACGTTGGCCCCATTGGGGGTCTGAGGCGGGATGTGGGCCCATAGGGGGTCCGAAGGATGGATGTGGACCCCCTATGAGGTTTGAGCGGGACATTGGCCCCATTGGGGGTCTGAGGGGGAACATGGGCTCCATAGGGGGTCTGAGGGATGGATGTGGACCCCATAAGGGATCTGAGGGGGATGTTGGCCCTATTGGGGGTCTGAGGAAGGACATGGGTCCATAGGGGGACTAAACTGGGACGTTGGCCCCATTGGGGGTCTGAGGGAGGACGTGGGTCCATAGGGGGTCCGAAGGATGGATGTGGACCCCCTATGAGGTTTGAGCGGGACATTGGCCCCACTGGGGGTCTGAGGGGGGACATGGGCTCCATAGGGGGTCTGAGGGATGGATGTGGACATCATAAGGGGTCTGAGGGGGACGTTGGCCCCATTGGGGGTCTAGGGGGTCAAATGAAAATCGAAGGGGGGGGGAGACAGGTACACTAAAGCCCCGCCCCCCAGCCGCACCCATCAATAAGCCCCGCCCCCACACAAGCCCCGCCCGTTCAAGGGTCAAGCCACGCCCCCGGGAACACTCGGGGGGGCACACAGGCCACGCCCCCCTCTCCCGGCCTCGCGCCCCCCTCCCACCAAGGTAGGGGGCAGGCCCCGCCCCCCAGCGGCGGTGGGCGGAGCCTCCGCGTCCCGGCGGGGGCCGCGCCCGCGCGCGCGCGCGCGCGCGCCTTACCTGCCTCCGGCGCTCCGGCCGCGCGCCGGCACGGCGCTCCGGGGGCGGGGCCAACGCCCCGCCCCGCGCATGCGCCGCCCCGCCGCTTCCCGCGCGTCACGGCGCCGCGCGGCCGCGGCGTCTCCCCCGCCTCCCCGGTTGCCGGGCAACGACGGAGGGCGGGCGGCCCGCCGCTCGCGCCGCGCCTCCGCGGCCTCTGATTGGCCGCGGGCCCCGCGGGCGGCCAATGGGAGCGAGGGTAGTTGCGAGGTGGGACGCCAGAAGCGGGCGGGTTTGGTGAGGCGGCGGCAAGATGTCGAGCAGGAGGAGTATCGGGGACCCGGAGGTGGGGGGTGAGGGGCCCGTTCCCGCCGCCGTCACCTCTCAGCGGGGGCGGGGGGCCTTCTCTCTTGAGGGGCGCAGCTCTGGGTGGCCCGTGGGGCGCTGGGTCTCTGGGGGCTGCGAGAAGTGTGGGGGGGGAGGTTCGGTGGGGTGACGCGAGGGTGTTCTCGGGGGCCTCAGTGGGCCGGTGCGGGCTCCAGAGCCAAAACTCCGGTCTGGGTGGGGAGGTTTCTTAGAGCTGGGCGTGCTCTGGGTGAGTTGGGGGTGGAGAGAGAGAGCGAAATTCGCCTTTTGAGGCTTTAAAGTGGCGGTTTGGCAGGGGATTTAACACCGAGATGGGGATCCGGAGGTCTGTCATGCTGCCTGGGAGCAGAGGATGTCTGAGAGGATGCCTGTGGTCTTGCTCCTCTTGCTGTTTCTGAGAGCTGTACCATCGGCCTTTTCTGTTTATGCTTTTTTGCCTTTACAAAAATTAACGGCTGTATATTGACTTCCTCTTATCTTTTCATTTTTAAACCAGTATTTAACCAGGCGCATCCCTCAGAATCCCAGATACCAACACATAAAAACCCGCCTCGATACTGGTAAGTCAAATTGTTGTAGGGTAAAACCACCAAATGTGGATGTAGGAGCACACAAAAATATGCTGAATATCTTAACTGCCTCTGTCTTGAGCTATTTCACCCCAGATACTGTGCAGCTACATCAGAACTCACATAGCAATGGTGATGTGTCTCGATGATATCATGTTCTGTTGTGGCAGTTTCCATAGAAATTACTGGTCTTGGAGTTTCTGTTTGTGGGCTTTTCTTGTATAAGCTAATATACTGACAAGGGTGTAAGTCAAGGTAATTACTTGGGGGATTTTTTTTTTGTTAAAGTGGCTGAGTTTTGTCCAGTAACACCTGCTTATAGTATGCACAAAAAAAAAAGTTGGGGAAGGGACATCATGGCCACAGTTATGGTTGAAGCAATGTGTTGGAGGCAGGATTTGAGTACCAAAGATCTGATTTTAGTTCCTTTAGAGAGAACAAGCTGTAACATACTGAGTTTTCAGTAATGACTTTCTGAAGGTGATGACTTTGTTCTCCAAAGCATCATCAAAACAACTTATGCTTGTGTGGAACTTGTAAATGGCAAGGGTGCCATGAGGCTGGTTTTTTGGAATATCACCATTGTGATTCTTGTTGGTTAACAAGAAGCTCAACATGAGCCAGCCCCGTGCGCTCGCAGCCCAGAACCCACCCGTGCCCTGGGCTGCAGCCAGAGCAGGGGGGGCAGCAGGGCCAGGGAGGGGATTCTCCCCCTCTGCTCTGCTCTGGGGAGACCCCCCTGCAGTGCTGGGGCCAGCTCGGGGGCCCCCAACAGCAGAAGGACACGGAGCTGCTCGAGCGGGGCCAGAGGAGGCCACGGAGATGCTGGGGGGGCTGGAGCAGCTCCCCTGGGAGGCCGGGCTGAGAGAGTTGGGGGGGTTCAGCCTGGAGAAGAGAAGGCTCCGGGGAGCCCTTCGAGTGGCCTCCCAGGGCTTAAAGGGGGGACAGGAGAGGTGGGGGGGGGACTCTGGATCAGGGGGTGGGGATGGGACGAGGGGTGATGGGTTTAAGCTGACAGAGGGGAGATTTAGATGAGATCTGAGGCAGAAATTGTTCCCTGTGCGGGGGGTGAGGCGCTGGCCCAGGGTGCCCAGAGCAGCTGTGGCTGCCCCCTCCCTGGAAGGGTTCAAGGCCAGGTTGGACGGGGCTGGGAGCCCCCTGGGCTGGGGGAAAGGGGCCCTGCCCGGGGCAGGGGATGGCACTGGATGGTCTTTAAGATCTTTCCAACCGAAACCATCCTGTGATTCTATGACCAGCCGGGTATGGATACTTCTTTTACCCCTTACTGAAAATCCTTTAAAGCAAAACTTTGGTGCATTCTGTAGAACTGAAACCGTGCTGTGGGTATATGTAGAAGATTTGAGCTCCTGCTCATCATGAACATTTGCAGTGACTTCCTCTGTCCAGTGTGGAGAGCTTAACCTGTGGACCACAACCTGTTCCCAGAGGTGGTTACTTTGCTGTTTAGCTTGGCTTTCCTTGTGAGAGAAAAGCACAAAGAGGAAAATTGTGGTAGTTTTGATTTATGGCTGTCTTGTATTGTCACGGTGAAAGAGGATCTACAACAATCATTTGTTCTCATAGTCTGATCTTTTCCTTCAAAAAAAAAATGTAGCAAACTGATTGATTATTTTGTTTTCATTTCAGGAAACAGTTTAACAAAATACACTGAGAAGTTGGAAGAGATCAAAAGAAGTGAGTATCTGGAGAGGAGCAGAATGTAACTTGTGGTGAGTTAGTTCAAAACTGAAAGAGGCTTGAGGAGCAGGGATTGAATCCCAGGCCCTCCGATTGCTTGGAAATATCCACTGCCCTGATGCCCACAGCCTTTTGCAGGAATGAACTGTAGAAACACACAGCAGCAGGAAACAAAGATGCTTCTACCTTCATTCTTTGCTGGCCATCTTCCACTCTGTCCTGTGCCTTATTTCTCTGTCTCTCAGTGCTTTACAGATTTAACTTAAGAAGCCAGGCAGGCAGGTCTGGACTAAGAAAACTAGACTAGACTCATCTGAGAAGACTCAGACTGCACTTCTGAAACTTTATTTCACTTCTAAGTAACAACTTGAGACCTCTTACCTTTGTCTAATTTTTGCATACTTAGATTTCTATCGCAATACTCCAAGACAGGAAGAAGATGAGCTCATTCCTGTGTAACTCATTGACTTCACCAGAACTAAACACTGATGTTTTGAAGACTTTGGGTTTTTCAGGCTAATGAAAGCCTAACTGATTTTTATTTCAGTCTGTTTTCCCACTGAAAATAAGTTGTTTTTTTTTTAAGAATTCTTGCCAATACAGCTGGTGTTCTACTACTTTATTTTCAGCAAAGCTATTAAACCCGAAAGCTTCATTTATCGATGTGAAAGAAAAATTGTCCCTATTAGTGAGTAATTAGGATTTTGAATGTTTAGTTTTAGTTCTTAGACCCGTGTTCCTCTGAGGTGGTAGTGTTCATATTGTAAGGGAAGTCACTAATCCATCACGTGACTATATTTGTGCTCAGCTTTGTGCAAAATGGTCCTTTGTTGCTGGTTTGTTTGTTGGTTGGTTTTTTTTTTTTTTTTTTAAACACCACAGGTCTTTGGGGAAAATCAAGAGAGAATTGACCTTGCTTTCTGAAATCCTGTGTTGATTGACTAAGATTTCAGTGCTTAACACTGGATTGCCATCGCTTTGTATCAGTGCTGAAAATCTTGTTGTATGGGTCTAGTTGGTTTTCAATCTCTGCTGTGAATCTGATTTCGTTTCATGTAGGGCTCCTTTTGTTTAATCGTGGTGCTGGAGTCCAGTAGAAACTTTCTCATTATATTTGGGCTGAATAGACACCTTGTGTTCCCAGACCATTTAGAAACTTCTCCCCCTCGATTTCTCATGGATAGATGACACCGTTTGGACAGAACTTTAAATATCCAGTACAGTCAACTCTCTGTCTCATGTGTAATGTGAGAGAGTGGGACTTAATACTGCGAGCCCGCTGTGGAATCAAAAATGATAAGAGAGCCTGGAACCACGATGATTTGTCCTTTGGAGGACTGACTTGAGGAGAGACATCAAGTCTCTTCCTTTTCTTTGGTGTTGCTTCACTCTTTTCCGAAGCCCTGAGGAGCGCATCCTTGAATACCCAATAATTAGAGCTTCAGACCTGTTCACCGAAGCAAAAAATGTCAGAAAATCCAAATGGACCTTCCAGGACAGAAGCGGGTACGTCGTGTTGCTTTTGCAGACGGAAGCAGTGCTTCTAAACTTTCTGATAACTTCTGGGAGGGTTGTGCAAGCATTGAGATTGGTCTGCTCCAGGTCTGGTTTTGTAATAACAACAGTTTTGTTGTGGTTTTCCACGTCGATAGAAATAATTTTGGGTAGTAAAGGCAAGATCTAGGTCATACAGGCTTGTTCGGGGGCAAATAATCCTTGCTTGAGGTGGGTGGAAACCAGCAGTTGTTTTTTTTATATGCACTGTGACGATGGTTCTGCTTTGTCAGTGTTTATGTACATCCAACACTTCATAAGCTTTGTTGCTTTTATTTTTCCTTCTAAATTAAGTTTTTTACTTGCCCTTTACAGCACTGAAGGGCTGGTTTTGCCCGTGACTGGGGAGTTTTAATCATTTGGACATGGGCTACATGCAGGCTTTTTGTCAGGCAGGCAAAATGGGCTGTATAAAAGATAATTGTTGTTGTTTCTGAGTTATAAAGGGAGGCTTTAGCAATCTGAGCTTGAGGCTTGAAACCAGGTGGTTTTGCAAGAACAGCAAGGGTCATTTTCAAGTTAACTGGCATTCTGAAACGTAGTTTATGCACGGGTCTTGTACTTCAGACCCATGGTTTGAAATGCATAGTGCACACTGCAGTGCACTGAGGTATTTTGGATGGGCTCCATTTTTCTAAGACAAGTTGCTGAGTAGCAAGTAGACACTTGCTTTTCAGCCTAATAAAAATTATATAATGTAGGATGTTGAATTTGGGAACTTTCCTTCCTCTGAGTGCTGGAAATTAATTGGCCTACCTCTTCAGGAAGTATATTTAAGAGGAAAGGATAGGAATAAAAGAACCCTAGAGATGAAAGCTCACAATTTCTCTTTTTGTGTCTGTCCTGCTACCATAGTCTGCCAATTGGCTGTGTACGGGGAGAATCCTACTTGAGCAGAGTGTCTGTTGGGAAGCATGTGATTACCACTTGTACTTGGACGAGATCTCAGGCTTCAGCATTTGCGTGGCTCCTTCTCTAAACAAATGTCATCTTGAAAGTTTCTATAAACTAATTTTGTGGTAATTTTTCATGTGGTGGTTACAGGAATATGGATTGGAGCCCTTACCCCTTCTTCCCTTGTCTGTTCCCTTGCTTAAGCTAATGGAGCATTCAGCAGATGGTTTTAGAGGATTTAGAATTGCTTAACTGGTTGGATTTGCTAAAGATCCTGTGCTCCATTGTTAGTCCTCTTAGCTGAACAGCTGGAGAGAGACCAGTTTGGAACATCTAAATTGTTAGAAAAATGCAAAGGATTTTTCTTTTTTTAGAGATAAAAATCTGTGACTTCAGAGCTGGAGCCTAGTGAGGGAGAAGGAGCAATTTTTTTTGAGAGAGCTTAGATTTATTAGAGTGTGGCTTCAGGAGCTGCGTGCAGAACTCAGTTACAGCTGCAGTGCCTGACACTGGAAGAATTTTGTTCATCATCTTTGCCTTTCCCTGCCAGTGCAGGATTGATCCCTCTTTTTTTTTTTTTTTTTTTCCCCCCTCCTCTGCTATCTTCTTTCTAGCTGTAAATTTCCCAAAGCATGAGGCTTCCATTACTTCCCGTGGGAGGCTACTTCATATCAAGATGTTCCTACTGATACTCGTCTTAGCTTCTCTCTCCTACTACATACACCCTTTTGTTTCACACTAGAAGGCTTCTCTCTTCCTCGTGTTTACGCATCTCGAGTATCTGTATGCATTCAGACTTCCATCCTTGTCATCACTTCCTTAGCACTGTTAATCTCTGCTCTGGTTGTTTACCAGTCGTTTCAACAGACCGCTCAGTTTTCTTGCTACCTAAGCTTTGTCTTCAGGCTTAAGATTCAGTTAGCCCAGTTTCTCCGTAGCAATTATGCGTGCTTCAAGCTGGTATCCATGCCGATCTGCTGCTCAGTTTTCTGCATTCAATTTCTGTTGGTTTTTCCATTCCTTCAGAGAGACATATGAGCAAATTGTAGGAATCAGAATTGAATTGTCAGATAAAGTAAGAAAACCTGGAGCATTTTAATCGGTAAGATTAAACATACTTGTTTATCTCATGTCTCAGACACAGTCTGAGATACTTGTGCTCTGATTCCGCCGTAATTTACACAAATTAAAAATTCAAATAAATAAAATCTTTTGGTTTAAGAGGCTTTGCAACTGTAGCAGGATTCAAAGAACAGACAAGGTGATAAATTCATGAAACTGCTTCCTTCCCCCGGCAAGAACAGAAAACACAAAGTAATACACATTTGAGTCTAAAAGCAGCTAAATCTGCCTTCTCTACTTCAATCGTATCTGGACAAGACCTCTCATTATAACTGGGATTACTTTTCACAAAGTCTTCAGGTTTGCTGCTCCCATCCTTCAGCAGCAGCTTAGTACCCAGAAATCCTGCCTTGATGGAGAAGAGAGTTCATGAGAATAGCTGGGACTAAGCCCATTACCTGGTATTTGCAAAAGCTGGGAATTAATTGAAAATTTACATTGTCCTTTTCTGTTTTGTTTTTGAAGATTACAGATATAAAAAGGATGAGCTGTTTAAACGACTGAAAGTGACTACTTTTGCCCAGTTGGTATGTATAGTTCTCTCTCCGGCCTCTGCAAGTTGTTATTGTTTATGAACAGCATTTTTGCTTTGTCTGAAGCTTTCTATGTAGTTATGTAGCCTTAGTGTGTAATTCTTCTGTATTGCCCTCATAAATTTCGCTCAATAAAAGCAAACCATTCAGGCCACTGTTCTCAGAATAGTCAAATGCTTTTAGTTGCAAATTGAAGTTTGTAGTGAGTCTGTCTTTGAATTTTTTTCCCTATTTTTTTGTCCATTAACTTAAGAGGATCTTCAAGCCTCTTACAAAAGAAAAGGGCTATGCAAAGTAGTATTCAAATCTGATCTCATCGAGCTTTGTGTCAAGTAGTCACAGCCTGAAGCCCTCCCTAATAGCGATTTTAACTACAGAAGATGGGAAGGTTGTGACTTCAAGGCTTTCTGCATATTTTTTTAAAATTAAAAGCAAGGAATCAAAATATTAAAAAATGGAAAATTTGATCTGTAAATGAAGAGCTGTGTGTTGCTTACATGTTTGTTCAATAAAACTAGTAAAAACTAGAAAAAGACAAGCTGTCTTTGAAGGGGAGAAGGAAAGAGAAGGTTAAATTTGCAGATATTGAAAGAGTGGGTTTCTGCAGACTCGTATCTAGTTCCCTTGGATTGTTAAAACCAATCCCATGACTCTCACCGGTGTGATGAACTGATGTAGTATGTGAATATTTTGGGTCTGTTCTCACAGACCCATTAGCCACGTGTGATTTTAGCCAGTGTAGTGTATGCTCTGAAATGTTTTAGTGACTGAACTTCATAAAAGCCAGAAAACGTTCTGGTATTTGATGTGGCCAGCATGGCTCATCTGGCCTTCCTTTATTCTCAGGTCGAGCATTCTGGTTTGGGTTTTTTTTTGCTACAACTTCCATTTAATAAAAAGACACACTTGCAGTACAGGCATCATAGATGTACCTGTATGTGACCTTGAAGTCCAGTAGAAGTTGTATTGAGTTAAATGTGTTTTGGCTTGAGGATTGTTTTTCCTTAAGCTGATCCCCACTGTCTTTCATCAACACCGGTGCATGTGTATCAAGGTATAGTTGCTTGCTTTTGTTTCCTGCAGGTCATTCAGGTTGCCTCTCTATCTGATGAAACCTTAGAAGTGACAAATGAGGAGATCCACAAGCTGGAAGGTAACAATATTTATTGTAAGCACAAAGAGAAGGAGCTGTAGATCACTGTCATATGGTGAACTGTGTCCTGACAGACATAGCTGACTGTTCAGCAAGTTTTTTAATCAGAAGGGAAAAATAATTTCACCTGTCGCCTGCAGCCATTCCACTTTGGGAGTAGAAGCACTTCTAAAACAGAAAGGCTTGTAAATAAGAAAGGCCTCGTGCTGCCAAGTTTATTGTAGGAGCTCAGTAGATATTATACATGAAGAATTACGTTTTTATTTAATTCTTAAAACGAGATCTTGAGCCCTTCAAAATCATTTGGCTCTTTATTATTTTTAATATGAGACTCTCGGTAAGTCATCCTTATAAGAGGATGAAGATGAGGCTGCCTTTGAGACACACTTTCTTCTAAGAATAGAAACTGGATTTAAAGGCTGCTTATTTCCTGCAGCATTTTAACTCTTTGTACCCTGTTCTTCTCCCCAGATGGTGATTCTGCAGCTCCAGATGCAGACGCTGAAGTCACAGCAGGGACGAATGGGAAAGGAAGCCCCGATGGGACACCTAGTCCAGTCCTGTTCATAAACAACACAGGAGCTGGGGAATCCTATCGGTCCACGCTACAAAGGTGCCTGATGATAATACACAATTTCCTTCCTGTCTTAGCAAGACAATTATTTTTATCCCGCTAATTATTTTAAATTGCTGCTAAGTGGCTTTTTACCGTGTTTCTCATTAAAGCCTGATTTTGCAGGTCCAGGGCTGTGAGCGAGGGAGAGGGTTGGCAGGTTTTCCTGTCTGAATGAGTTTGGTTTGAGGCTGAAACCCAGCACTGTTGCCACCTGATGATTGTCTAAATGGCTGACAAGGAAATATGTTTGTGGGATTCGATCCAGGTCCCTGGGTTCAAGAATCCATGTTATAAACTGCTCTGGTAAACTCATTAATGTGCCTTACTGATGATCTTAGCAGATTGTCCCATGACTGAGAATGAGAGTCCAATTTCCAAACCCACTACATCGCCAGTCAAGGTCAGAGATACCAGGAAGACGCTGCAAGAGGCAGCTTTGTCTCAGCCTTTCCTGAGCTGTACCTGTGCAAGTGTTAACAGAAGAATTGAAATGCTAGCCCGACAGGCCTGGCGATTGCATATCAAAGCCGTCAATTAAATGACCACTAAGAGTACCTGGAGATTTCTGTTCATGTCCTGTATCCAATCTAGTAATGAAATGGAAATCCTCTGCATAGCACTGTAGATGACTGACAAGTATTTACTGCGTCTGACTTGCTGAAATCTCGACGTTGGCAGCTTCTTAAAATTATTCTCCCTCACCTCAGAGTCACTTAAGACATTGATTAAAACTCCTAGACTTGACTGATCCAAAAGAGTATGTTCACATAGCAAAGCTGTACTCTGTTTATTTTTTCAATTGATAACAATGAGACCAGTCTCTTACAATGGACTGGAAAGCCTGAAATAGAATCTCTCTATTTTTATGTGTCTGGCTGTACTGGAACACAAATGGGCTATTGGAAGAGTTGATGGAAAAGCACTCTGACCTAATGAAGAGATACGGAAGTGTTGGGAGTGAAAGCTTGTGCCATAACCTCTTCTTTCCTCTTGCAGTGTGATAAGTGGCGTTGGTGAAATGGATATAGAAAAGGATGCTCCAAAGAAAGTGGACACTCAGACTAAAGACCTGCCTTATCCCGACTGCCCCTTCCTGCTTTTGGATGTACGAGACCGGGATGCGTACAACCAATGTCACATTATTGGAGGTGAGGAATCCCACGGCAGCCTAGTGTCAGCTGGGATCATATATTCACCTCTTTGTGTCGTGTTCTGCCTGGCTTCATTTGTTTCCCCAAGGTGGGACATCACTTGGGTGCAGAATGCTCTCAGCACTCATCCAGTACACCCATCTTTCCTGGAAAAGGGATAAGGGAACCGAGCTGATGTTAATCCCTTATTCAGTGGGTTTTCAAGTCTGTTGCACTCTAATCAGCCTGCGCCAGTTGTATTCCAGGTTGTGTGATGGTGTTCAGCTGCTGTATGATTTTTCTCCTTTTTTTTTTTTTCCTCCTCTGCAGCTTATTCCTACCCTATTGCAACGCTGTCTAGAACCATGAACCCATATATAAGTAGTATTCTGGAATATGTATCCTTTACATATAAAGTGCTGGGATAATAAATAAATAAAAAAAATGGGGGGATGTTGGTGGGGGCTTCCAAAACCAACTGGAGCTATAGCAGTCGCTGATCAGGACAATGCTTAACCATCAAAATCTGGGGATTTCCAGGAGGGTGGGAGGGGAGGTCCTTCACGCTGGCCGTGATTACCTGGTGTGGCTCTACTGCCACCATCAGATACTGGATTCTAGTTCCTCGGGGCTGTTCACACCTCTTGACTCCAGTGGGAGCTGCCTGAATTTGGCTTTTTTGGGGATTTTGGCTGCTGGAAGGCAAAGCTGTACTACATGGGCACCCGTCCCCTGCCGTTGCTGGAGCGCTGGGCTTAAGGGATGCATTGATCAAATCCTTTGCCTTCTTCTCAGCACCTTGATGGGGACTGGCTTTTCTCCGGAGGACAGAAGGAGGATTATTAGCTAAGATTAGGCTGATAATTTGCCTGGTTGTTAGATTGTGAGGACTGCAGGGGAGAGGGGAGGTTGTAAACAAAGGTGCTTCTTGCTATTGCCTGTTACTAACTGATCGTCAAAACAGTGGTGGATGCCTGCTGCAGGGGCTGCACTGCAGTGGGGCTGTGCCTGGCAAGCCTCAGCTACTGAGAAATCAATTTTAAATCACAGGTTCAGGGAAGGTATTCCTGCCTGATACTTGCAAATCAAGTAGGGAGTCTCTTGGTCTTCAGTCCCATTTGTTTGTGTCCCTTATTCTTTCTAAAAGGTATTAACGATCACCTTAAGTTTACAAATTAGTCCTTAGCTCTTTTACCTCTCAGAAAAATGCACATGGAAAAATTATCATTTTGTATGACAATGATGAGAGGTTAGCCAGCCAGGCTGCGACAACCATGTGTGAGAGGGGCTTTGAGAACTTGTTCATGTTATCTGGAGGTAAGTGGGGATGGGCAGGACTCCCTGAGATCTCGGGAGGGTAGATCAAGAGCAGAGAGCACGGGTGGTGTGAGCTGGAGATTGACAAAAGCTGGACGTTCAGCTCTGTTGAGTGTTTTGTCTGTGACTGGTAAAAATCACTGATAAATTGTGATCTGTATGTCTGCAGGCCTCAAGGTCCTCGCGCAGAAGATCCCAGAAGGCCTGATCACCGGCTCGCTCCCCGTGTCCTGCCAGGTGGCAGCTCCCACTGGGTCAGCCCGAAGAAAGACCTCTCCCAAAGTGCCGCCTGCACGTGCTGAGAACAAATGGAGATTTTCTGCAGACGATCTACAAAAGATTAAGTATTACCTGGAAGAGGAGCGTATTCCTTCAGACACTGCCAGTAAGACCTCAGGAGAAATACTGCAGCTTCTTTCTGTAGCTCTGGAGCCTGCCCTGCAGCACTTCTCTGCTTTGCTATATTCTTTCCACGAGGCTGCCGGGAGAGAGAGAGTTTTTTCTAAACTGACTGAGAAGATCCATCAGAACCTCTGCTATGCCAATCCCAGAGAATTTAAATCTTCTATAGCTACACGGTGATAAAATCCTGGGCCTGCTGAGGGTGGGCATGTACCATTCTGCTCGCTATATTTAAATGTCTTCAGGTTTTATTGGTGATCAGTAAGTTTTTTAAATTTTTAGGCCTGCACAGCTAGATAGAGACTGCCCAGAGCCCCGCGCTGAATTATCCCTGGGTCTGTATGCTCACAGTGAAGAGCTGGAGAGCCAGCGAGGGCCAACAGGTCATTTGTGTGTCCTCGTGCTCACACACGCAGCTTCTAATATTTGTTTATTTTTCTCCACAGGCCGTCTTAGCCGTGGCTCTTCAGGCCGCGGTTCCAAAGTGACGACCGTGAGGACCAGCCCCAGTTTCCCCAGTACCGCTGGCAACGTGGGCTCCCTCACCTCCCGCTCGCTCAGCAGGAGCAGCCCCCAGAACCGGCCCTGGAAATAAGCAGCGGTGTCGTATTCCGCTGAATACCTGAATGTCCAGGTTCTGGGAACCCCCGAGCAGTGCAGCCCATTTGTCATTTTAGGAATCCGCAGAGAAAAGGAGCGGTGGTGTATAAATGGCAGCTCGGGTAAGGCTGGGGGAGCTGGAATGGTTGATGTTTCATAGAAGCAGGAACGGCATCGCTTTGGCAAGGCTGACTTTTAGGTGCTGTGTCAGGACAGTGTTGATATAACTGATTTTGTAGGGGAGGGAAGATACTGGTAGTAAAGCCTGTGACCAGTAGAAATGGTTCTGCCAAGCTTGTAGTTCAGACAAATGAATTTGTGTCTGTAACAAATACACTCCCCGTGCTGCGCCCGGAACCGTGGACTGTGCAAACAGGAGAACACATGTGAAGTTTAAAAGGGCCATAAATCATCCGTGGGCAAAATCCCTGGTGTTTCATAGCAGAGATACGGACATTCAGCAACTTGCCAAAATGTTGGAGAGAGGATTCCATAAGGTTTTTTTTTTTTTCTAAAAAATTTGTTAATGAACAGAAGTCTTTGTAATAAAGTTGGTTTTGGAAATCATGCCCAGCGTGGCACTAACCTGGAAGTCGTGTTTCCTCATGGACAGTTTGTGAAACAATTCTATATTTTTAAAGGTGAGCTGGAGGAGAAAATAACTGTTTTCTCTCTTCTCTCCTTTATTGCCTGGAAGGTTTGTCTTCTAAATGTGCTTTTCCTGCTTTGTTCCTTGCCGTGGTTACAGTGAGCGACTGTGTGGTGGGTTTGGTTCTAAATGAGATGAAATGAGAGAGTAAGGCTGCCAGATGTGCTGAGCAGGGTTTTAGCTGCCGTGTCTTAGAGCAAAATCATCTGTGCCCCCCTTCTCGGTGCGCAGGCAGTGTCTCCTTAGTGTGACTGTACCACTGGTTTGCTCCTTTTCCTACTTCCCAGAGCAGGCTACTGGTGACCGGAGCTGCAGAAAACTGCAAGGTACGTGGAGGAGCTGGTCACTCTGCTGCTGCCAGGGCTGACTTCCCCACCCATCGTGCAGGCAGCTGCGAGTCGAGGTTAAGAGGCAGAATGTCATTTTGCTTCGTAAAATGCTTTTGTGATACTTGGAGGCAAACGGTATTCTTCAGCGGAGCAGCAAATAGCTCTGCAATTCCAGTGCCTGGAATTTATTCCCAGTTACGCCCTTGCCAGTGGTTTTTGAGTGTCTCCTTTAAAGTTAAGGTAGCTGAAGGGAAATTTTCTTCTGCCCTCTCACCAGGGTCCTTAAAACCTAGCAGGGACCATGAATCTGGTCACCGAACAGGGTGTGAAGTTTTCATAGAAAACGAGCATCACAGCTTTCATCAAATCGGTGCTGCCACCAAACCAGTATTGGCTGGGTGACCCAGAAATCATCTGAATCTACCCAGTGACAAAGCAGAGTTGCCTGCTAGAGACATTGTAGGTAGTTAGAGAGATCCTGCTCTCAAGCCTTTACCTACAGTATTGCTCAGCTTGGTCCAGCTTTGGCTTCTTGGTCTCGTGGGTTTTGTGCGTGGCTTTTTGGGTTTCAGTGGGGGATTTTTCCCCTTTTCAGAGTAGACGATCTTCAACAGCCTCCAAAATTCACCAGTGGTACAGATCATGGAGGGGGGGGTGGGCGTGGAATAATTCTAGTGAAAGGGCAAGGTGAGAGAAATTGCACATCATTTCCAGTTTGGCAGTTTAAGGCTTGACGTCCCTGAGCACATTTACCATGTTTATTGTTTCTCCACGAGTCAGAGAAGTGTCGATACAGGGACTGGCAGTCTCAGTCTGAGAGCCACAGCCTCAGTCCTTTCCAGAGAAGAGCGAGGTGATCAGCACAAACCTCTGATGTTATGTGGGGATCCCCCAGAGAGGGGGAAGAGAGGGAGAAACCAGGAGGCACAGGGCAGAGCCAGCATTTCAAATGCACCCAACAAAGGACTTCAAAGAGCTGAATGCCCCTGTGCGTTCAAATACACATCTGTATTTTTATACGTAACAAAATCTAATTTCAGAGAGGTAGCTGAAAGCTCCCAGCTTCCCAAGAAAGTCCTTTTATGGATGCTTTAAGTTGTACAGACCAACTCTTAAAATTTATACACGCTGCCCTTTCCGCCTACCCACTGAGGATCGCACGTGCCCTGGGTTTCTGTGGGGAGTGTGTGTGTGTGTGTGGACTCTAAGTCAGGCTGGTCAGGTGTGAAGATAATGGGTCTGGTTGTGTTTTATTTCTGGAGGCATCTCACAGCCCGACTAACTGCTCTGCTTTCTCACCTTCCCACTCCATCGCGCTTCTGGAAGACTTCTCGTCGTTTTAGTTGTAAGCATATTTATTTTGAACGAAGCCACTTGTCCTCCTAAGTCACACCGGTTGGCTTTCTGTGGAATGGCAGCATCACTTCTGAAGAGAAAAGTGTTTATTTAAATGGTCTGAGCCCAAAGCAGGAGCTGTAGGGACCTGGTTCTTATCTGTGCTCTTCTTCACTCGCAGCCTTGGGAAGCTGATTCGCCTCGAGGGGCTTTAGTTACCGAGTGGCAATGCTTTTAGGTGGCCTAATGAAATAAACAAAAGCGAAATAAAGAGTTCAAAGGAGTTTGGTCCTGAAGCATCACAGAAACGCCACGTTTAGCTCTGAACACATAACGTGGCTCACACAGCTGTCCTGACTCCGCGGCTCCTTCCTGCTCTGTACGGCACCTTTATTTTTATGTCGTCGTAAAACAAAAATATTGAAGAAAGCAGCATCTCCTGCATAATTCAACCGGTAGCTTGCCTGAAAAAATTATACTACTGGATTGATTTAGCTGAATGTGCACAGGGGAGAAGAGAGCCATTTATGTGCTCGAAACGGGGATGGGTACAGCACCCAGAATCCCGCTGGTGTGCGAGTAGGAGGTATTTCGACTCGGTGAGCACCCGCAAGTGGTGTTACAGTCATAAGCAAATATAAAATGCATCTGTCTGAAAACAGCGGTGAGAGTAGGTGTCGTGCGTGTTGGCTTAAGTCCCGATTTGGTTATCCAGCTGTGGGAGAAAGATCCAAAAATCTCTGGCTGCTCCGGGCTGCGTGAAAACCTCCTGAAACGGACGGACAAAACTAGTCCGAGCTGTTTGAGATCCTCCAAATCCAGGGCAGCAAAGGAAGAACAGAATGTACTTTTCCACCATCCTGATTGATTCGTATGGTTTTAGACTCTTGGCTTGGTATTTTTTCGGAGCATAAAGTCAAACTCTATAGACTTTTAATTGTTTAATTTAATAAAAAGTTAATGACACCATATGGTTGAGTACTTCTTTTCGGTTTGAGCTCTGGCAGCTAACGGAGAGCGTGGAGCTGCCGCTCCCCACGGGATTGCAGAGGGTGAGGAGGGACCTTTCCACCAGCACTGCCACTCGGTGTCCAACCCCCAAAATACGCAGAATAAATCGTGCTGACCCAATTGCCTCACATCCCAGAGCCCTGGGGAGGGCCGGGGAAGGGGGACACCCCCCCCTGCTGCCACAGCGGCGATGTCCGACGTCTCTGCTTTGCCCAGTGAGTGTCAAACTGAACCTCTTCCCCTTCCACCCTCCACCAGAGCAGAAGGAAAACGAGCACCTTCCTTTTCTTCTGTGTCCCACTGTTTTTATGCCCCTTTAATTCCCTTTTTGGGCCGTTGGGCCAGCGCGCGCCCTCAGGAGCGCTGAGCCCGTCTGCAAAAAAAGCTTTTTGGCATGATTTGGGGAAAAAAAAAAAAAAAGGCAGCAAAAGGCACTTCTCATCTTCTTTTTATTTATTTCTTGTGTTCTTTTCCCCTCTTACAGCTCGTTCAACCCCCCAGTTGTTAGAGCTGGTCCCTCGCGTGCAGCATGATGACCTTCAGCGCCTGCCACGTCTCCTGGGCGGTCGGGATGATCTGTTTGGCGGGGAGCAGGAACCCGTAGCGCCCCGTGTCGCGCAGCTCGAAGGTGAAGGAGTACTTAATGCCCTGGTTGTATGTCCAGTCGATGGTCCCTCCGCTCGCTTGATCTGGGTGGGACAACGGGGTGGGGGGGGGGTGGTGGTGTGTGTGTGGAAATGTTAGTCACTCTGCGTCGTACGGGTTGTTTTGTCTAAGCCAAGGTGCGAGGGATGATTTTGGTTTATTTTGAGGGACCCACTGCTGCCCACCCCCCCCCCCCCCAGTTGCTTACAGATGGTGGTGATGATGCTGCCGTACTTGTAGTTGGTGCCGTACAGAGAAGACAGAGCTGCGACCGCCTTCGCAGAAACCTCGTGCTGGGAAGACACAGAAGGGAGAAAGATGAGCCAAAGAAGGGAGAAGCCTGCAGGAAAGGTTTGTTTTTTTTTTTTCGCTTGTGCCGCAGGCAAAAAAAGATGCCAAAACTCAACGGCCTTGGCCTCATGGCGGGGGGGGGTGGTCCTCAGGGACTGGCAGAGGAGCCAGGGCTTCTTCCTGGCTTGCCAGTGCCCGCTCCGTGGTGCACGGTGGAGGTATCTCCTCCTTGGAGGAACCTCTCATCATCCCAGCCCCCCTACCAGTTCCTTCTGGTCAGGCGCTGGGTTCCTGGTGTAGCCGTAGGGGTAGAGCAGGAGCTGGGAATAGCTGTGGATGGAGACGAAAGCCTTGATGTTCCCATGGCTCTTCACAAAGTCCACGATGGCCTTCACCTCGGGCTCTGAGTTGGCGTAGGGTCCATGGTACGTCTCCGAGCAGGGGTTTCCGCTGGCCCCGGGCCCTGTGGCGAAGTGAAAACACAGTGTGGGGGTTTGGTGGCTTCAGTGACGGTTGGGTGGCTCAGAGAATCACAAGGGCAAAGGGTCTTTTCCATTTCCAAGCCCAAGAGCTCTTCCCAACCCCTCAGCTGCTTGGTGGCCAGCGAGGACCACTCCTGGGGTTCCTCTTAGATGTTTGTTTGATGGCTTTCTTTTGTGGCCCCCACCACCCTGGTCACTAGGGGACACCAAAACCCTGAGGGAGCCCAAACCGACGTTTGCCGTGGAGAGCAAATCCCACCCCTTCCCCCGGGGACATCAGTGGATCTTTCTGAGCCAGAAACGGCCTCAGAACCTCCAGCGAGAGAGCTCTGACCTCCAAAACCTGCGTCCCAGTTGCGGTTGGGGTCCACCCCGATGCAAACGGAACCCGACTGCTTGGATCTGGTCTTGCGCCACATGCGATTCTGAAAGGACAGATCCATCTCAGCCGGTGTCCAGGGCTGGAGCTCCACCAACCTTGAGCAAACCAGGGTGGGGACTGACATCTGGGTCATGGTGGGCCCCTTCCCATCTCATGGAAACATGGGCAAGGAGGCTCTGACCTTTCAGGGGCCTCGATGAGCAGCATCAAATCCTGCTCCCCAGCCCCATCCAGCGTATCTGTAGGTGAGGGAGAGAGGAAAGTGGGGCCAGTACCCGGGTTTGGGTGAAGGCGAAGCCATCGGGGTTGGTGACGATCTCCAGGAAGATGTCCATCTTGTCCAGGATGGAGGCCAGACCTTCGTCGTTCTCGTGATCCAGGACAATCTAGAGAGGATGGGGGTTTGGGGCTCCCTGGTGCTTCCAAATCACCGTCCCCCCTTC